GCCACAAGGGTTGAGCGCACGCGGCGGCGAGCTCTGCGTAGCAAGGGAAGTCGGGAGGTAGTGCGGGGAGGAGGAGGAGGAGGAGGAAGAGGAGGAGGAGGAGGAGGAGGAGGAGGAGGAGGAGGAGGAGGAAGGCTCCACTCATCGCTTCTCAGTGATCTTTCTGCCTTTCTTCCTCTGTTCGGTCGTAGCAAGACTGCGGCTGCGGCCACATGCTGACCGCAGAGTCAGTACAACACGTAGGAGGTGCAAGGATCAAGACTAGAAGGCGCAGCGCAGCGAGCCTTAAACTTTTGCGTGTATCTCTATATATATATATATATATATATATATATATCGGAGTAGGCCGGGGGGGGGGGCCGGCTGCTGCCTCTGGTCGCCATGGCTGCCCCCCCAGGCGATTTTTTTGCACCCCTCACGAGGATCGTGGCCCCCTCGCCGAAAATTCGAGCCCTCAGTCTTAAGAAGCCTCCGAAGAGGCCACAAGAGGCCCCAAGTGGCTTCCATGAGGCTCCCAAGACAGCCCACCAGGCCCTCCAGACGCTCCAAGATGGCTCCCACAGCCTTCCGAACAGAGATTCAATAGCCGCAAATCGCTTAATTCCTGAGGGAAAACGCAGATTTTTGGCATGTAGACCTTCCCGCCTGTCCGACGCTCCAAGACGGCCCACGACGCGTTCTACACCGCACTAACACGGCCTCATAGGGTTTCAAGCGGCTCCCACGACGGGGGCCAAAATCGGTGCCGTCATCCCCCATGGCCGCCCCCCCGAACCTTTGGGGGGTCACAGACACCCCCCGGGACTGCCCCGGGCCGCTTCCAAATTGCCCACGACAGGCCACGCAGGCCGTACAGATGGTCAAGAATGCCTCTAGAGGCCCCGAAGACGCCCAAGAGCACCCCAAGAGGGCCCGTGAGGGCCCCAAGAGGGCCTTCAAGAGGCCAAAAACGGCCCAGTTCCTTCGCAAAACGTGCGTTTTCGGCATACTCGCTGGCTTCGTCTTCACAGTGACCCAGACGCCCCGCGGAGCCCCAACACAGCCCAAGAGAGACCCAAAAGGGCCCCAGACGGCCCAAAAGAGTCGTCCTGTGGGGCTCACGGAACCCCCCGAGACGGCCCAAGAGGCCCCAAAGCCGGCCCAGGAGGCCACCAAGACGGCCTCAGGGAGGCCCAGTTCGAAATCATGTTCCCGGAAGCCTCTCCGGGAACATGATTTGCGGGTTCCGAGGACGCCCAAGAGGCCCACAAGACAGTCTCAGCGAGGCCCCAGAGGGCCCGAGATGGCTTGAAGATGGCCGAAGAGGGCCCCGAGAGGGCCTTCAAGAGGCACAAATCTGCCAATTTCCATTGTAAAACGTACATTTTCAGCATACTCGCTGGATTCGTCTTCGCAGTGCCCCAGACGCCCCCGCAGAGCCCCAAGACAGCCCAAGAGAGACCCAAGAGGGCCCCAGACGGCCCAAAAGGGTCGGCCTCTGGGGCTCACGGAACCTCCCGAGACGGCCCAAGAAGCCCCAAAGCCGGCCCAGGAAGCCCCCAAGACGGCCTCATGGAGGCCCAAGAGGGCCTCGTTCGAAATCATGTTCCCGGAAGCCTCTCCGGGAACATGATTTACTGGTTCCGAGGATCCCAAGAGGCCCACAAGACAGCCTCAGCGAGGCCCCAGAGGGCCCGAGATGGCTTGAACATGGCCGAAGAGGGCCCCGAGAGGGCCTTCAAGAGGCAAACATCAGCCCGTTCCCACAGTAAAACGTACGTTTAGCATACTTCCTTGCTTCGTCTTCGCAGTGCCCCAGACGCCCCCGAGGAGCCCCAAGACAGCCCAAGAGAGACCCAAGAGGGCCCAAGACGGCCCAAAAAGATCTTCCCGTGGGGCTCATGGAACCCCCCTAGACGGCCCGAGAGGCCCCGAAGCGGGCCCAGGAGGCCCCCAAGACGGCCTCAGGGAGGCCCACGAGGGCCTCGTTCGACATCATGTTCCCCGAAGCCTCTCCGGACCCCAAGAGGCCTACAAGGCAGCCTCAGCGAGGCCCTGGAGGGCCCGAGATGGCTTCAAGATGGCCGAAGAGGGCCCCGAGAGGGCCTTCAAGAGGCAAAAATCACCCGTTCCCATAGTAAAACGTACATTTTCAGCATTTTCCATTGCTTCGTCTTCGCAGTGCCCCAGACGCCCCCGAGGAGCCCCAAGACAGCCCAAGAGAGACCCGAGAGGGCCCAAGACGGCCCAAAAAGATCGTCCCGTGGGGATCACGGAACCCCCCTAGACGGCCCAAGAGGCCCCGAAGCCGGCCCAGGAGGCCCCTTTAGACGGCTTCAGGGAGGTCCAGAGGGCCTCGTTCGACATCATGTTCCCCGAAGCCGCTCCGGACCCCAAGAGGCCCACAAGACAGCCTCAGCGATGACCTGGAGGGCCCGAGATGGCTTGAAGATGGCCGAAGAGGGCCCCGAGAGGGCCTTCAAGAGACAATCAGCCCGTTCCCGTAGTAAAACGTACAATTTCAGAATACTCCATTGCTTCGTCTTCGCAGTGCCCCAGGCCCCCGAGGAGCCCCAAGACAGCCCAAGAGAGACCCAAGAGGGCCCAAGACGGCCCAAAAAGATCGTCCCGTGGGACTCACGGAACCCCCCAAGACGGCCCAGGAGGCCCCGAAGCCGGCCCAGGAGGCCCCCAAGACGGCCTCAGGCAGGCCCAAGAGAGCCTCGTTCGAAATCGTGTCCCCGGAAGCCTCTCCGGGAACATTATTTCCGGGTTCCCAGGACGCCCAAGAGGCCCACAAGATAGCGTCAGAAGGCCCCAGGGCCCCAGAGGGCCCGAGATGGCTTGAACATGGTCGAAGTTGGCCCCGAGAGGTTCAAGAGGCAAACATCAGCCCGTTCCCATAGTAAAACGTATGTTTTCAGCATACTCCATTGCTTCGTCTTCGTAGTGCCCCAGACGCCCCGCGGAGCCCCAACACAGCCCAAGAGAGACCCAAGAGGGCCCAAGACGGCCCAAAAGGGTCGTCCAGTGGGGCTGACGGAACCCCCCGAGACGGCCCGAGAGGCCCCAAAGCCAGCCCAGGAGGCCCCGAAGACGGCCTCAGGGAGGCCCACGAGAGCCTCGTTCGAAATCATGTTTCCGGAAGCCTCTCCGGGAACATGAATTCCGGGCTCCCAGGACGCCCAAAGACAGCCCCCAGAGGCCTCGGACACGCCGAAGATGGCCTCAGGACGGCCGACGACGCCCCCAAAACGCCCCAAGAGCGCCTCCAGAGGCCCCTCCAAAGGGCCCCAGAAGCCGAAAATTATATATTTTCCAATGGAAGCATTCTTGCTCTCTCCCATGTTCCGCCTTCCCACGGTCCTGGACCGCGTCAGAAGCCCTTCAGATCGCTCCAAGACGGCCGAAGAGGCTCCCAAGAAAGCCGAGAGACGGCCCAGGAGGTTCCCCAGATAAGTCAAGAGGGCCTCGAGAGCGCCCCAAGAGAGCCCCAAGAGCGACCCAAGAGGGCCCGAAGAGCGCGACATTTCGACGTCTCTGGCCTGAGAGGTTCCCAGGACGCCCCCGGAGGCCATCAAGAGGCTCCCGAGAAGCCCCGTGAGGCTCCCAAGAGGCCCCCCGGAAGCCCCACTAGGCCCCCGAGGGACCCCCAGGGAAGCCCCCTGCGGGCCCCCAAGACACTTCGGTAAATCGTATTTCCCAGATAGCTTTCCAGGAAAGTGATTCCTTGGGCTTCCATGTTTCCAATAGGCTTGCCGACAAGGCCAAAAGGCGCCACTCTGTAAGCCCCCAGAAGCCCCCCCTCTTAGAGAGCCGAACAAATCATGCTCCCCGAAAGCTTCCCGGGAACATGATTCTGTATCTCGGAGTAGGCCTGGGGGGGGGGGGGGGGGCGGGCCACTGCCTGTCCCCCCCCATCGTCGGTGCCCACCAGGGGTTGCGGGGGGGGTCCAGAGCTCCCGAGGCGGCCCGAGCACCCCCCAGCACACCCCAACAAACCATGTCCCCAGAAAGCCTTCCGGGGACATGGTTCATCATGGGCCCGCGAGTCTCCGGAGGCTTCGAAGTACCATCATGCTACAGGAGAGTTGTCTGGGAAGTTGATTGAGAAGTCGAGGCCCTCCGCAGATGGTTTCGCACAAAGTTGTCCCAAGTGCCCTCTTGAATCGACGACGACGACGAAACGAAACGAAACGACGAATACGACGACGACGACGACGACGACGACGACGACGACGACGACGACGACGACGACGACGACGACGACGACGACGACGACGACGGCGCGCCCCAATAGGCGACGACGACATTACGGCGACGACGACGACGACGACGACGACGACGGCACGCCCCAACAGGCTCCCCAAGACGCCACAAACCCATGCTCCCAGAAGGCGTTATGGGAACCCGATTCATACGGCCTCCGCCCCCCTACACAACCATTTTCTTCGAAGGCCTTTCGGAATGCAGATTGGCATGCGTGGACTGTGGTCCACTACTTCAGTGGAGCAGTGAATTCGTCAAGGCCTGGGGCCTGCTAGAACCTGAGCGCGCGCGAAGCGCGCGCGATTGTTCTAGTATGTGTGTGTATATATCTGTATATATATGTATGTATATATATATATATATATATATATATATATATCAAGTCGTGCCTGTCTCTGGCCAATCAACATGTAGATGTACATATATATATATGTATGAAAGAGCGCGTTCTGAGAGAAGAGCCCCCGCCCCGCCTGGAGAGGAGGACCCCCAAAGGCGATGCGAATCTGCCCCCCCCTGGCCCCCCCCCGCCAGGGAAGGGACAAAGGGAACGGGCTTCCCTTTGACGTGATTACGATATGGGTCGATCTCCCTCAATCCCTGGACTCCTACCCCCGACGACGGGAGAATGCTCTCTCCCGCCCGACGGGGAAGGAACGTCCCATCGACGGGAGCAGACAGACAAACGCCCCGCACGCGCCGACAGGGGTCGGCGGATTCAGGTTTGCGAGAATGTGGAGGTGGGGGTTCAG